AGGAAAATGTCAATATATTGACAATAATACTTTTGAAAAGCACTCTCCTACAGAGCAACATGAGTGCAGTTTAGGATGATTTGGTGGACAAGAAAAGTAGTGGTTTTCTATTTTGCAAATTCCTTTACTATTCAACTAGTTTAGCTGTGCCAGGTGTAACTGGGATTCCTAACTGTACTGACAAGTAGGCTACAGTACCCTTGAAGAAGTTAGGTGATTGTAATTTTTAATTCGGTCATGTGACGCGATAGTACCAAAATTACTCCTTCTCCTGTTAAAAGCTGTGTCCACTTTTTTGGAGTATATTCTAGATTCAATGTACTTATTGAACTGGCACAGAATGATTGCTTTATTTCATTGTTGCATAGGCTAAATGTAATTTATACTAATATGAACGTCCTTTCTTTTGTGACTGACAGCTTCTTCTCAGACTCCTTTTCTATCGTTTCCACTGCTGTTATGTTATAAAAAGAAGAGAGTAAAGTCTCTCGGGAAAAAGACTTACATTTCTCTTATCAGTAAAAAGAGCTCTAGCAGAGAAAATGAAATTTATTTTTGTTTGCTGTTTCTCTGCTATACCTAGTTTATGGAAAAACAGTATAGCCTTCATTACTGATGAAAAAGAGTAAACAAAGATTTTTAATAAACAGAAATGAATCTTACGCCAGCAGTCTCCTTCACCGAGATTGTTCTTTCCTCAGTATACTAAATCAATGATAACCAGACTGTAAAATAGTTACCCTCTATTTGATTCTTTTAAATGCAGTTTTCTTCTTTGTTATAACTTCTAATAACTTAGTAAAACTACAGTGAGTTCGGCGGAATTTCTTTTGTCCATCTTGGTGATATAATCACTATTGAACAACTAGTGAGCTGTAGTGATGAAAAAAGAAATTGAATAGCAACCTTGAAATTACATGCTGGTAGATATACCTGAATTATTCCTCTGAGGGAGTTTGTTAACGGGGAGCAGTTGGAGCCCTGTTGGGACGCTTTCCTATAAGCAGGCACAGTACGTGCATAAGCAGTGTAAAATAAGGACTCCCATCTAGAGCACTGTGATTGAAATGGATGATTTGGAAATAATCTGAAGTGAAAAAAGTCCCACCGGTTAAATCCATGTAGTATGTACGTTGGACATGTTACTAGTGAATAGTTTGTCTGGTTTGTAGTAATCCCAAACGTATTGGAACTACTTCTGTGTATTTATTCTGTGGGACTTGCCCTTGTTGGTTGCTATAAAAATAGCTGTAATTTATAACTGTAATGCACTAAGAGTAATTTTAAATTTTTAATGATTTTAAACAATAGCACACGTTTCTGCTTGTTGTATTTTGTCTTTCGGATATTCCTTTTAGCTTTGTTAATTGTCAAATATTCTTTGTGTTTATATATTCCAATAAAACTCTAGCTAATGGCCACATATATTGATAAAACCATTTACATTATTTCTTTTTTTGAGTGTATAAGGAAAATGTAGGATTCTTTGTAGATTGCCCGAAGTCTGTACTGGATCATGGAGAATCTCCTTGAAACAATCTCAAATACTGATCCTTGTAGTAAAGATATAGTGCAGTTGCCAGATGAAAAAAAGGAAGAAATTGGATACAAAGGGGCACTGCCACAGTAAAAAGAAATTAAGCTTTGAAACAGGGAAGTCACAAGATTTAGCTGTAATGAACAGGGTATACCCAGGTATTAAACTGGGGGGGCGGGGAAGGCTTTAGTTCTTGTAGTTGATTATTTAAAATTCCTATAGATCAGTGATTCCTGTAGTGCACGTGGACCCACATTGTCCTGTCTATGTAGATGTTTTTAATGTGTAATCATCACCATATGTAGATGCAGGGGTATATAAAAGATAAAGATCAGAGTCTAATCTCAGTAATACATTTGTAAATCCAGCATACAGTAAGGAAAATTACATTACTTTTTCTGGGTAAAGCTTACTTTTTACCATATTGAATGTTCATATTTAGGTTTCAGGAATATTTTGTAATTTTTGCGATAGTCTTTTGTCAGAGGGGCATGATTTTGCCTCATTTAATTTGTTTTTTATTTACTTACTGAATATTACTTTACTGAAGGACTCTAATTAAAGGCAAGAAGTAGATGATAATTTTTTTTCTTATTTCTCTGAAGCTCAGACAAATGCTTTTCTGGAAATATGGCTTCACATGCCGTTGATTCTTTTAGTTTTCTTGTGTTTAGAATTCTATTTCTTATTTCTAGGGTTGTCTCCACGGTCCCAGATATGGGTCACTGGACTTGGGAACAAACTCATTTTTCCCTCTACTGAATCCCATATGTTCATTGCAACCTTCAGAATTTGATAAAGTCTTGACGGCCGAAATGACCCTTCCAAGGCTATAAGCACAGTGTTAGCTGCCTGACAGACCTTTTTATTGAGGTTCATCATTGCTTTCATACAAAACACTCTAAGGATTTTCTTTTCTGTAGACTCATTCCAGTCAGAGGAAGCCTTTTATATATTCTGATGCCCTTACCTTAAAACCAATATGATACATGATATTCAGAATACTTTAAAAATAGTCCATCAGAGTTTTTTTTTTTTTTTTTAACTGCGATTCTCTCATCCTTTCCGTCTGGAGTCACTAATTCATTAACTGCAAGTGAGTGGTTCGTGGGTTGTTAGGACCAGTTCTAACACAAAATGCACACAAATCAGATTTTCTGAACTTTATTGTTTGGCCTGTGTCTCTTAAGTGATGTTCACCTTTGCTTCAGTGTGAAACGTCGCACTAGAGAGCATCCACAGAATCAAAGTATATTGCAAAGAGACACTGTTTTACACTCATGTTTTTCATTATGTTTTAGAAGTGAATTCTTATATTTTCGTTATGATTTTACTATTCAGAAACCTGTGCACAGTCCACATTCAAATGTGAGCATCATTTAATAAGATGTAATGAGTGGATTTTTATGTTATCTTAGGCTAAATAAGTATTCTCATGATTACAGAGGCCTGTCTAATTATCTCTACATATTTTGGCATGTACAGTACTTTGCTGATAGGTATAATCCAGCTCAGAAGGGCCAGATGAATTCTATAGATGCCATAGTGCGTTTGTCCCAAACTGAAGTATTTTGTTTCCTTGAATCAGAAAGTTACCCAGCCTATTTAACGAAGTTTTAATTTGTTTGTTCAGATTGCCTAGTAACTTCCTGAACTCTCTTTATTTCAAATCTATAATAAAGCAAAACTATTAAATATCTCTTATCTCTATCAGATACTTTCTTTTTCTTTCTGAGGAAGGTAACCCAAGTATTTTGGCCGAATACCTATGCATTTTCATGAGTAAATGCTGTTAATAGCTTTTCATAGATTTGCAGCTTTTATATTTGTAGTCACCTGTGTAAATGGGCTCCTGGGATGTCCTGAGTACATCTTTCATGATGCAGCCCAATTCCCCTCCTGAGCGTGGAGAATGGATCGTCTTGGAATTCTAGGACCGTGGTATATGATGAAAAGCTCAGTCTTGGTGAATACAGCACCTCAATACAACCCTTTAGCCATATGATCTAGATGTGGCACAGAGATTTTACTCAAGCACTTCAAGGACACTTCTGTTGTTTGCCCTTCCTGTAGACCACAATCTCATCATTGTTGCAGGTCACAAACTAACAGCAGAAATCCTCATCCAGATATGCATAGAAATGAGTTGTTGTTATCTGACCTTCAAATACATCTTTCTAAAGTGAAGGTTAGATTTGCTTCAGATTAAATTTAGGTATTTGGGCCTTAAGCTATCCTTGTTTTGTTCTGATTCCTTTTTGTTTTTCCAGTCTACCTCTTCAGTTCATCTTGTATCTCCTGCATCTTGGACATGCTGCCAGGCATGTTCATTCTCAGTTTTCTCCATAGGCTTGAGCAGGGGATGCTGAAAATTTTTCTTCTCTTTCTCTAAAACTCAACTGACTCTATGGATCTTTATCTCTTCTTCCAGAAGATGGATGAACACTCATAGATAGAAGTCTTCTTCCCATGCGGAAGCATTTCCGATCCCATTAGTCTTTAGCCCGCACCGTTCTGGAATCAGCCATGCAATGCGAAATGCCGTGCTGCAGCTACCTCTCTCACTGATAATTCCACTTGCTTTCTGAGTAATCTAGGAGTCTTTATTCCTTCCCTCCCCCCCACCCCGATAAGGCCTGTGAATTTTTAATATAGTGGGGCAGTCTTCAAGAAAAGTATTAGGAATGTAGTTTGGGCTGACTAAACTTAGGGAATAAAAAAAAAAAAAAAGCTTATTTCTTAGTGCACTGGAAAGCTTTTATTATTGTTTATTTTTCTTTTTTTTTAATCAAATGGCTCGTTGGAAGACTAGGTCTCCTGATACTTTACCTAGCAGATTTATGCTATTATGGACCAGTCTCATCCTGGAGGCTAGCCAGCGCTCATTATTAGTGATTCTAATGGTTATTAGGTTGCCCAGAACGGCAATTGGTTCAAATGGTGGCAAATCTAATCTTTATTTTATAATTAACATGAACATATGAGTAGGGTTTTTAGACAGCCTTTACAGTCTGCTAATATTTGCCTTAACAAATTAAGAAAGCATAACCATTAATTATGTCTTGCAGTAAATCTTAAAATAAAATTACAGAAGTCCCTGAAGGACTTGTTCTTCTAAAACATTAAACCTGGAGTTGATTTGGTAGGAATGAAAAATGATTACTGCTGCTTTTTGTAAAATGTGATTCTGTTTCATGATGCTTTTTGAGGCACGAACCTGACACGAGCTGCATATGCATCAAAATACATGCTGTGTACTGTAGCGTCATACTGTGTGCCCCAGAACAGTTTATCTGTTGTACTTTATTAAACCAAACTTAGTTGCAATTGCAGCTGGAAAGTACAAGAGGTCTCCAGTGTGGTCAGTTCTAGAAGTATTTAAACATAATAACTACACCTTAAAAAAAAAAGTACTGTTTAAGTGACTCTTTTTTTTTTTTCTTTTGCCTTTGCGTTTCACCAGTTGAAAAAATACAGAGCCAGTGGGATGAAGTGCATGGATACCTCCAAAGCCGAAGACAGCAGCTCCATGAGATGTTAAAGGATTCAACGCAGTGGCTGGATGCTAAACAAGAAGCTGAGCGGGTTCTTGAACAAGCAAAAGCTAAGCTTGAATCGTGGAAAGAAATTTCCTACACCGTGGAAGCTCTGAAAAAGCAGAACACTGAGCTTAAGGTCACTACTGAAAACTAGTAATTTAACATTAAGATAAATAATCAAAATGCTGGTACATGATTGAAGGTATTTCTGCTTGAGTTGACTAGATGTTTAATGAAACTGTCCTCAAAGTATTGGACAGTGCATATCAGAGACGGGCACTTTATTCTCTCTCATCTCCCACTAATAATTAGAAAAGAATTACTGAAGTCTAAAATGTGTGTCATGTAATCCTTCAGTGAATTTGGTCCTAACATTGGTCAGTTATAACAAATAGCTGGCTGATCTTGCAGGAAAAAAACCTACCTTTTCAGCACAGGTATTTGTCATCTCTTCCATTCACCAGCCTTCGTTGAGGCAGTGGTACTGCAGACTGGTAAACCCTGCAATGTTGCCATGGGTCTGTCAGCACTTGTTACAAAGCTGTAGGTTGCCTTAAAGTGGATAAAAACAGAAAAAAAAAATGTAGTGAGTTGTCTGGAGGTATTATGACAGTCAAGCATTTTAGATTTGCCACAAGATAATCTCACTGGGTTCAACTTTGGCAGGGTTATTAACTGCAAAAAAATCTAAAATGCCTGGTCTCCTGTTTTTACCATATACTAACTGTCACATTTTAGGTGCTAAAATGTACACCTCAGTTAACTTAGCAGCGCTGTACCTCAAGTAGCAAAGTTGCATCAATTTTTAAGTTTTTAAGTTTCATGTTATGGAAATAGACATACTTTGGTGACATTCCTCATGAATAAATTTTGAGAATAGCTGTTTCAGTTTAATAGTATCTCATTTCCTGATTGGGAAAACAAGACTGAAACCAATCAATTGATCAGCCTGTTAAAGTGGGTCCTGCATCCATGTTAGTGGAATGTTATATTTTAATCACTTGAGAGAAAGTTAACAGAAATATCACAAATGTCTTCTCCTTTCCTCCCCTCCCAAATTTTTTTTTTTAATCTTATCTCTCAGTTTATTTGGCTACCGTTTGCAAACAGTTATATTTGCAAAGCTGAATGGTAATCAACCACTTTGAAGAACAGTGAATAGTGAGATCAGGTCCCCATCAACTGATTTTTGTTACCAGAGAAAGTATGGGTGTAACTGTATTATTGGTTATTAGCTAAGTCTATTATCCTTTAGTCGTTGCCATTCTGATATTTAGAAGTGTATGCAAAAGCTATTGGGTTTTTTTGTTTGCCTACAGGAGGTGTAGAAACACCACGATCTTTTATTATCTTCTTACTTTAGGGCTGGGAAGCAGTTAAGTTTTCTTATTTAAGATTATACCTTAAGGGTCATTGCCCGGGACGGATAGATTATGGTAAACAAGGGCAATCACTCACTAATGTATTGGAAAGAGTTAGAGATTATGTATACTACTGTCATTCAGCAGAGAGGACTCACATTTGTCACTGTCTTTCTGCAGAGATAGAGTTCTGGCTTCTGCCCAGTGTTTGTTTAAAAAAAAAAGCATCGACAAAGTCAGTGTCCTAGCTCTGCAAGACACAATTAACACGCACACACACACAAAAACAGTTCTATGCAAACAGTGTCGCATCATTGTGTCCGAGTGTTTTATGTCTCGAACACAGACTACATAACTGAGAAAATAATTGCAATTATTGTTTCTGAAATGGATCTTGTGTTCATTTTTACAAGTATATGTGAAGTTTAGATGAGGTTCATCTAAGAATGTATGTTTCTTTGAAAAATAATGATTTTAGTGGATTGACATTCTCCAAAGAAAGAAATAAAAATATGCACTTCCTCTCCTTCATCATCCAAATTACAGAGAAAGTATAGAAAGTATGCTAGTATACTTATTCATAGAGGATATCTGTTTGAATAAATGAGCAGAGTTTTGAAAGGATATCTGCAATTTTTTTCACTCTTTATGCGACAGAGAAGGAGAAGCATTGGAGATACGAGTACCTTGGAGCATTCCTATCTCAGTCTGGTTTTAATGCTACATGTTTTGTCCTGTTAAAGAGATTAGACCATGTTTATAATTTTAATTGTGAAAGCAGTTGAACCCATAGCTAGCCTTCAGCCAACTTTACCCTGCCTTCATGGTGATGTGAATATCCACAGGCTCTACTGTTTCAAAGAGGCCCCAGTCACTTTCATTACTTTCATTTGCTTGGTTTTGCCATCCTTTATCCCACAAGTCCGAAAGAAATTCACCTGTCTCAGAAAATCTTTTCTTTACTTTCTTTTGATCAGCCTTCATAGAGGAAATCTATCTGCCATTAATTCCCATTGTGCCAAATCCTGCATGAAAGCTTCTCAGATGTGACAGCATCAGCTGTTTTATTCTTGCTTGAGCTAATTGTTCATGCATTTTAAGGAAAACTGAAATCCTAATTGAGTTTAGCTGCTTTATATTTCTTTTATGTAGTAGTATCCGAAGTGAAGGACCTAGAAATACATCATATCCTCAAAGTAAATGCTTCCCAGGCTTCTGTACCACAACACGTATCTTTCTGTGCTGTCCCTTTGAATATTTAGAGTAAAAGTGCAGTGTCTTTTGGGTTGCTGTTACACTGATGAAAATAAAGCTGTTAATTCTATTCGTTTGGGCAGAGGAAAAGAGCCAGGTAAGCATGACACTTACTTAAACAAATTCTTCAAACATATTATTTTTGTCAGCTTTGCATCCCAACACAGTTTGGTGTGAGAAAGTATAGAAAGAGAGAAAAGAGAGAAGTGTCTTCTCCTGGTGTCGTTGTTAAACATCGTAGGTCTGCCTGGAGACAGCTGAGTCAATGCAAAAGTTCCCCTCTGCTCTAAGTGAACTTTGAATCAGAGCTTATCTTCAAGCTTTTGTGTTAAGGCATCCTTCCACATCAGTGAATGGGCAGGCACTCAGTAGTACTGATCTTTTGATTATTTATATTTTTATAATGCCAGCATAAAAGAAGAATCTATAACTGAGTTGTATTTACCCAAGGGTTTTGGGGTTTTTTGAAGGATTTGACACATTTGCTACTGACATTTAAAAGAAAGGTTACTGAGTACCATGTGGCTGCTAATTAAAAATATGATTTGCTTGAACTAGAAGTTAATTCAGAGCTAATTTATTGAGGATTCATTTTTTTTTCCATCTTTCTTTTTAGTTTGATACTTAAGAACAGTATTCTAAGGACTGGGGTTAGGTAGGGAGGCTTAGAATAATGACCGTCTTTACCTGTTCGAGTCTGGCTTGTTATTAAGTGTTGACTGCAGATTGGTAACTCGGCAGGTTGAAAGTTATGTGTATATAAATAGTACAGATGATAGTCACATTTCGACTCCTTTCAGTCTCGAGTCATCTGAACATAAGCTAGTCTAAAGCTCGTCTCTTTAATATGATACAGAGTGCGAGTTAAAAAGCGCTCGGAGTGCCAGTTCTCGCCTCGGCCCCTTGTTGTTTTGGGAAGAGCTACTGAGACATCTTGTCTTCCCCCGCACCAGTTTAGCTGAGATGGCCAAGGCGAGGAGGAGGAGGGCTGGACACAGCGTTTTGCCCCTTTCCTGCACTGGCCACCTCCTTCACATTCACCGAAATAGAAAGCGGAAGAGCAGCCTGGCCAGGGTCCCTGCTGTGTGGGGCGCAGAAGCCAAGCAGCCTTCCCCCGAGGAGCCGGGGGCGGACTTTCTGCCTTGCGCTTGTGGATAAGGCTGAGGCAATCTTTCTTGCCTTTGTCTTCTTTCTTCTTTGGCTTCAGTGTTACCCTTAGGTAATTTAACATTTGCTTGAAATGTTGCTGCCAGCTCTTTTGCCGCTCCCTATGTACCTGCAGAGGACGGAGCACAGTCGCAGCATTCTGGGGTTTGTTACTATTCCAGGGCTGACAGCATGCTGTTTTTATTTCAGTGGAAAAGCTAACCGTTAAAGTGATGTTATCTACTGTGGTGCAGACACTGAAATAGAAGTCCCTGATGAAAAATTAAACCTCTTTAGGTGTATAAATAAAAGATACGCTGTAGATATCCAGAGAAAGGACAGGAGGACAGCCAGATTTTCCAGATTTGTGATATATACCTGTTCACTGTAGGAATTTACATGCTCTGAATTGGATGATGCTTCGTGTTCATATGGCTGTATTTGAGCTTCTGTGGATAGTTTATTTTATTCCACTGGGAAAGTGTAGCATAGAACAAAAAGCTCAGCTTTAATTTTCTTACTTGTTTTTAATTAAGCATCCTTAATTACACAGACTTTCTTCCTCATAACAGCAACTAGTGTCTTCTAATTAAAAATTAAAAATAAATTTATACCTAAGTAACATCATGAAATCACAGCACTAATTCTTTAAGCCTTTTAATAAAGTCAGCAAGTTCCACTGAAGACAGACAAAACAAAGAGAGCGCTTTAAAAAATGTCAAAATGAAATTAGGTAATAAAGCATTTTCCTTTAAAAAAAATCAAACATGTTCCAAACTGGTTAAAAGATAAATGGGACCTAAAAATAAAAAAGGGAGGAAGGAAAAATTTTATGCCATTAATTTTATTATAAAAAAGTCATTTTATTAGGTCATATAAGATAGGATTGAATGGGCCTCTGGTAGAATGGACAGTGAAACATTTACCGCAACACTTTGTTCTCAGTGTCTGTGCAAAGGGCAGAGTTGAAGCAAGGCATGCACTCTTCAAAGTTGTTGAAAAATTACATATCAATTCTCAATGAAGTAGAAAATACAAATTGTTTCTGTTGACAGAGCTTTCTATATTCTTCATTTCTTTCCTGAGTGATGATCTAGTGTTGTAATGTCAGGAATTTAATGGATTAATATTGAAGTTAATGGTGAGAATCAACACTTTTGGAAATAGCCTTGTAATGGATCTTTCTGCATTTTCATTACAGAGACTGGTTTGGAAGGTTTTATAAGGTCATTTATATTCACCTGGGACTGGGCAAAAGGAAGTTATTTTCAGAGTGAAGTTTACAGGCCATTAATTTACCAAGTGGACAAAATGTTATGGTAACTTTTCTGTGTAAGGCAGCGAATGGCCTACTGTAATTCTGTGGCTGGAAAAGAGTAACTGTATGTGTGCATGAATTGGAACATGTTAGTATTTTAAACAGAGAGAAAGGTAGAGCATAATCAAGATGGAAACTCCTTAAAACAGTATAGATACTTAATAGAAAAGATCTATAAAGCAGAAATGGTAATTACAGTATATTTTATTTATTATATTTATACAATATAAATATTTATGTGTTTAATATATATAATTCTGCCAGAGAATAGGGCTCATTTATGGGAGTATTTCCAAAACAACCACCTGCCTGTATCTTTTCCCTAAGGAATGCTACTGATTTTGCTATAAAATTATGAACTACCCTGACTCTGTCTCCGTAGCTACCTTGAGGGAGTAACTTTAAAAATTATATCTAGGCAGCTTCAGTTTAACTGAACTTAATCATAGATGGTTCATATGGTTCACAGAATCAGTAGGCTCCTGCTAGTGTTTAATTGGTAGAAGGAGGAACTGTTGTTCACAGGAGATCAGGATGCCACATAGTATTTAAGGGTATCATCTGCTGCACAGTCACTGGGTGATTATTCTGCTCTTATCATGAGGGAATCCTGCAGAATAACACAGGGAAGAAAGGAAATACATGTTTTCAGTTTTAAATTTTAGAGGAGGCCCATGAGGACCTAGAGATGCTGTAACAGCTATGTAACAGATGAGGCTTTGTGGGGATCCCAAAAACTCCAGCAGGGACTCTTTTCAAAAGATGAATAAATTTCAGATCCAGTCTTACCAAAATCAATTTGCAGACTTTCTGAGGTGGAAATCTAATTGTACAAAACATTCAAAGTGTATTTATATTTACTGAGTATTTAGACTCTTCAGTCAGGGTTTGCATCTTTAAATTGTTTTTGATTCACTCTCTGAATCAAAACGAGATTTCAATAGGACTACCACTTTGGGAGAAGGAGGGGCAAAGCTCAATTTTCCTTCATATAGATTTCCTAATTTTAGTATTAAATTACACTTCTTTACTGTAAGCAGTCAAGGCTTAGTGTTTGCTTTTTGTAGATAGCTTCTGATATTTACATTCAACTTAGTGTTTCTATTTGCAAATATAACCTTTTTTCCATTTGCATTGTCCCATTTGGTTAGTTACTTGTAGTCTTGCGTAGTACAGAAGCAAAAATAGACCATCTGTTGTCTTTGCTCTTCCATTTTTGTTGTTACACACTATAGATTGAATATGCAGCTTCAGTGCATTTATATGGAAATACAAATTTTCTCTGAAAATAGACTAACAAGAAAATGCATGGGATTTGTTTTCTGGCTGCAGGGAGTATTCCCTATTTTTGGGAGGGGAGAGGAAGAGGAGAAGGGAGAGGAGAGGAAAGGAAAAGGTTGCTTTAAGTTTTAAAAAGCTTTCTTAAAACTTAACAGCATAAATCAGCATTATAAAAATAGTCAGGTTTACCAGCAGCATCATATTTTGATGTATTGCAGATTTAGTGCTGTTCCAGCAGATGGCACTAATTACATAAACAATTCACTAAGATAATAAAGTCGGAGAAAAAAAATGTGAAAGCACAGGCATTATTTGTCCAAACCTTAGTGTTATTTCACATTATAAAAAAGAAAATTAGATATAATGGGATATTATTTCATGAAATTTTCTATCTCTCAGTGTAATTTGACATCACAAATAGAAGTTTTACTAATGTATCCTCCCATTTCTGTCTCAGAAAAGAACGATCAAAATTCTAGTCACTGTTTATCATTTTCATCTGCCGTATTTTGTCTGGCATGAAGGATTTTGTTGCTCAGTTGCCTCAGACGCTTAGCAGTAATCTTACAGTCTCATAACTGAAAAATAAACATTTAATAAGACTCTGACCTTAGTTGCCAGTAGACCTGAGGAAGTTCTTATTCTTTATTGTGTATTGATGGTATAAGTTGTCCCTGTACTTTTCTACTAAACATAGAATGTGTGTAAACGTTTTATGGCGATCTGAGATTTATTCCTTGTTTATTATTTTTATTTCAGCAATTCTCAAAAGAATTACGACAATGGCAAATAAGTGTGGATGTGGCGAATGACATGGCGCTTAAGCTGCTCCGCGATTATTCAGCAGATGACACCACAAAAGTAGAACTGATGACAGATAACATTAATGCAACATGGGCTACCATTAATAAGAGGTAGGATAAAAATTCTACTAATAGATTCATTGTTAAGCTTTATTAACATTCACTATCTAGCTTTGGTTAGAGATCTTAGAGGGTGTCATTTGTGAAAATGATATGGTTACTGTGCAAAAGGTAAAGAATGGTGATGTCTCTTCTGTCATATTTTGTGGAAATGTGACTTTGGATACCATTTAATTCCCTAAAACTACAATTTTGCCTCCTGTCAATTTTAAACTGCCATGACCAGTTACCAACTAACTTCAATTGATAGGTTATATATTTTAAATATTTTTAATGAAGCATACTGCATTTCTATGTACTATCTCTGCATCACAATCACTATGTGATTTTGTTAGAGTCATAGACTGAACCTAAAAATGACAAACAAATCCTACTGCAGCAGGCTGGAAGTAGAAATGTTTTCTTGTAACTTTGAAGAAAATCTGTAGTCAAGAAAATTGTGGTTAGATGCTTAATCACATTCTTCATAGTCTTCATAATTTGTTATAGATAGCAATCATTACTAGAAGCCACCAAAGTGTGAATCATCCAGTATTCAATCTGTAAAATCAGAACATTCTGCAGAATAAAAAAGTCTTTCTTTAAAGCAATAAAATAGTTTTATATTGTTGTACGTGAAATGAGATACATAAAAAATTAAATTAAAGTTATTTTAATCAGTTTAGTGTCCTGGATTAAGTTTTATAGCCTATAGCTGAAGCTGGAATTGAATTCATTTTTAAAATGTTTTTAATTAAAAGCCTATGAACAAGGTCAGAAAAGTTAGTTTACTTAAATATATAACAAATTCAGGAGACCTTCTTATATTATGGAAGTTACTCAAATCACTGGTGACTACAGAAATTTATTCCCATTCTTTTTTTAAAAAAAAAGTAAATGAATTTGGTATTCATATGCCTACAGAATGAGTCACTTTAAAAGCATATTTTCTGAAGCAGGCTTGCCACTTAAGATCTTGCAGTAGCAGGAGATGCCATTGATGTCCTCTAAAAGAAAGCTGCCTTATAATTTGAAAGCTTTTTCTAACAAGAACAATATCTAAACTGAGAAATTATTATAAACATTCAAGGACTATCTGCATTTCTCCTCTTATTGTAGTAGCCATTTTAGTCTTATTAGTAGTAGCCATTTTTTATGAAAAACAAAACATTCTGCTGCCTGTGCTCTGAGACACAGGCTGGAGGGGACATCCCATCCTGCATAAGAAGGGCTAGATGCCTAATACTCACAAAACTACTCCAAATATGTAGTTGAAGTTAATGGGTCAAAAGGGTTAGATGGAAGAACTGAGGGAAATTGCTGCTTTTCTCAACAACTGCTTTTCTCCATTTGTAGAGCTGCAACCCTCTACTGGTGAGCTAGCTTTCTAATCCTGAAGTCGAGCTATGTCTGTAGCTGGTAAGAAGTCAGGTAGCAATTATAGCTAAGAGGGAGTCTTTAATTGTGTATTTGTTAATGTTTTAGGCATGAGCCCAGGTGTTTGTAAGGTTGCCTAAGTGTAAGAATTGACACTATTGTATGCAATCAGCCAAGTAGTAGTTTCATAGAGACTATAAATTCTTCAAGCCACAGTCCTTGTAGGCTACATAACCCACAGAATTGCTCATAGCTCATGCGTTAAAGGAATTACTGCAGTAAACGTTCTTGTCTTAAAAGAGAGTTGTTTAGGTAACTGAGCTGACATTTCCTGTTAAGAATTATAAGAGGATAGGCTTAAGGTTGTATAGGAAACTGTAAATCTAGAATTTCCTAGTTGTGGACTGCCTGCATTTACAAGCTTTATACTACTTTGTATATAATTTTTTCCCCATGGATTTGGGAACTTGAAAAAGAAGCATACTGCAAATGCTAGTTGATAAGCTTCTCTGAGGGCCATATCACATTTTTGTCTTTTGTAAGTAGCTGTTAAATGAGGACTTAAATATAGTATCAAATTAGCAAAAGGCCTGTAGTTGGAAGGCCCTCTCCACCTGTAGTGCTCTCAGGTTGTTCCAAGCAGTGGTCAGCCTTCCCATTGCCAACGAGCTGCTGAGTGACCTCCCGGGAGAACCTCCTTGAGATTTCTTTTGCTCATCAGCTTTGAGGAAAGAGAGGATAGAGTCAGTGGACCTTTGAATGACTTACATGCCAATTTAACAATTATGTTTTGTGCTATTTTTTTTCCTCCATTTACACTTCAGCTTTCAGGTTGTTGCACAAAGCAAAACATATTATTTGTTTAGGTGTTCAGAGGTCTTTTTAAGTGGAAGAGGTTTTTTTTTTTTTTCTGGGTTTATCGCTGGCTCCTAGAAGGGCTAGTTCTCCACTGAGGTAGGTGTGCATTGGTTTCAGATATAGCCATGAGTGTGACTTTCTTCTGGCGCATGAGCAAGTAAGGCAGTGGTGATTCCGTGACCTGATAATGGTATAGAACTGCATTTCAAATGAGAGTCTTGGCTTTTGCTGCATTTGTATTTTAGTAATAGTTTTATCAGTGTTTATACATTCAAACTTCTCATTCATGCCTTGAGTGACAGGAGGAAATACATGTGCTGAAGATTTGTCTTTGTTCTCCCTAGAGCTTTAATTTAAATGACTTTATTTTTTTGTGGATACTTTCTTTTAAAAAGAATTTTCACAGAAAAATTAAGAGTGACTTAAGTTGTTCTGAATTATTTTTCCTCTAAACTGCCATTAGCATCAACACCGTGTGTTATGGAAAAAATGTGAGCCCTCCTATCCATGAACCAGATTACTAAAACAACAGACAGGCAAGCAGCAGTAAAATTACGGTTTGTCTGTTGGTAATAGTTCAGCCAAAGCAAGTACTTTAGTCATTAAGGCAACATCTGCCAGCTTGTGTTTTGTTTTGCTTAAATAGATTTGCAGCTGATTGCTGTGTGTTTACCCTTTGCCATACTATTTTGTTTATAAGATCAAACTATAATGAAAATGACATTCTAACTTCTTTAGTAGCCAAGTTCCTGAGTGTTTGATGGATGCTCCCCTTTTTTTCACTCACTACTTCTTATTTTTATTTTTGTTGTTGATGCTGAAAAGATACACTAGAGGAACATGAACTGGTTAGCTGGTCAAAAGCCAAAATGACTTGTAAACATATCTCTTCCTATTCCCTTTAGAAACATTAACTGTCCTAGAAATAAGTATATTATTTGTTAAGCTGATGCAATTACAGAGAAAGTGATCTGTATCTCGTGTGTTAACAAAAATAAGTAAGTCGCACAAATGAACTAAAATATGCTCAAGAGAAAAAGATACAGTAGAGGAAGTGACCATTAGAAATTTACTGTATATAAAAGTGTTCTTTAGGGTTCTATATGGGCAAATATTTTTAGAGTTGAGAAATCAGGCGAATCAGACAAGGATTATGGTACTCCTTGCTTTTATAGGTACTCACATTGTGTGTGAATTATCAAATAAAGCATCTAAATGCAAATTTAACTTTGTTCTTTTCCTGGGAATCCACTCAGCAGGTGTTTAAATTTCACTAACTGAAATTTCAAGCTAGACAGGCATTTAGATCTTTCTTAAGTGGAGCATATATTATGACAATAATTACATACCTATTCTGAGAATTAGTTAGGCCTCAAACCCATCGCCGTGCAACAGACACCTTCAAATATTTGCATCTCTCACCAGTTCCCATGCTCAAGTTCAGTGAAACTCAGACTGCACTGCAAGTGTTACAGCTTGCACCATTCAAGATGCATTTTTTGGCTTCTGAGAGAGGATGCAACATTCATGTATCAGCCAAAATGTAAACAGTAACTTTTTTCCTATTGCAGGGCATGGGCAGTGAATAATCAATAAATACGTAGATTTCTGTTGTTCTTAGTTTAAGCTGCAGGGAGGTGGAGAAGTGTGGCAAGGACCTGAGTTTCTCGGCAGCTTATTTCAAGGGTCTGAGTTACTAACTCCCATATTTATTTAAGAACTTTGTTAATTCTCACTATGTTACCTGTGTTAATGCAGCCAATTGTACCAACACCTTGATTTTGTATCTCAGATGGATCATACCAAAGGCAAATGGACAAACAAGCTAAGGGCATACACAGTACAAAAGTATGGTACATATCTATTTCCTATGTAATATGCAGAATATAACAATAATTAGAAGTACTGAAAAGTCCATAGTCTAATTTTGGTCTTTCAGCAAACCTCACCCTTTATCAGTGAGTGACTTGCTGTAAGAACACAGTCCTAACAGTGTAAACTTTATCTGTACATAACATTTGTAAGTATTGTTTTATTGCCTGCACAAAAAGAGCTTGATCACTCCACTGCAGACAAGTTTTCTTAATATAACATGCCTGCCTTAAGATTATGTTGCTTTATGGCTCTTGTGGATCATATTAACGCTACAATCCTATTCCATTCTCTAGGTGAGAAAGACTACCCTAACGTAGCAGCAGCAGCCAGGTTTATATATGTGTGTTTAGTTATACTGAAGATCATTGCTTGGTTTCAGTAGCCAGACCTTTTCGGGAGTGATCTTTGAAGAGCTTATTGTTTGACTCATTTAGGCTTGGATTGCTGAACTCGAGAAGGAAGGAATTACACAGCAAGTCTTATTTGAAAGAACTAACATTCCCATCTTCTAAGTTCTCCAAGCAAATTCAGCCCCTTTTCCTTTACATTCTTTTGTTGTTTTGAAGGTTGTACTACTTTCCTAAAATTAGTATAACTGCGTAAGTATGAACAGCTATTGCAGTTCTTTGTGCAGAGACACTGTATTTGAGCACAATGAAACAACTAAATTAAAAATGTAAGTGGGCATAGGAACCTTGTTTATGCTTCTGTACCCACTGTTATCACGGATATAGAGATGTGTTAGCGTACGCACGACCAAGATATTATTGCAAATGTAAGACTACAGATGAAGATGATATTGGTCAAGTGTCAATTTCCCATGTAAATACTTTTTTTTTAACAAAAAAACCCCAATATGATCATTTTTATCATTATCTTCATATTGGTGATTTATCAGTTGT